ATTCCAACTAAAATGGCGAAATAGAACTCGCGATCTGAAGCAGGAAGGTTAAGTAGTAAAACTCTGGCTCATAAGTCATAATCTGTACGCTGATGAAGCTTCACTTTGTCAAACAGACCTGAAATTCGGAAAGTTTGAACTGCAAAGGAACAGTTAAAGAAAATGTGGCAGTTGTGATTGTCACTTTGGTTACATAAGCTGCAGGTACCATCCGGGAATATTTGACGACGTCTGAGGTTGTCTGGGGTGGGTAAGTTATTGCTGCACAGTCTCCAAGCAAACAATAGTAAGCGTTGTGGAAGTTTCATACGCCAGAGATTGCTCCATACCAAATCACGGACTCCTAACGGTAGCATGTCTGATTCTGAACCATTCAAACAGAAGCGTGGATGATTCAAAATCTGGTAGTATGCTGATCGAACAGTGTGCTTACCATTTTTGGTGTAGTGCCATATCCATCTATCTGGTGATTGTGTATGAGGGAGAGCTATGGATAAGATGGAATCTGATTCTGTTTGCGAGAAAATATGGCGGATCAAATCTTTGTTCTAGTCTGTACCATCTGCACTAAAAAGATCATAAACAAAAACCAAGTGATCCATTCCTGAGTGAGAAACTGAGGAACGAAAAGTTGGCTCTAAGGGCAGCCATTTGTCATGCCAAATGTTGGTTTGACGTTCACATCTGATTTGTTTCCTGCAGCCTAAATCCAGAATTTGACGACCTTCAAGAATGCTCCTCCAAGTCCAGGATGGTCTCGAACCTAAAGAAGCCTCAAATTGATTCTGTTGAGGGTAGTATTTCATCGTATTTATTTGACCAAAATTAATGTTGATTTTTGTTTTGTATTCTATCAAATCAAATTATGGTAAGTAATGAGTTTATCTTATTATTTATTTGATCAAAATTAATGCTGATTTTTTTTTTCGGCCAAATGAAAACTCTTAAGTATTACTCTTTAAGTTAATCTAAAGATTACTTTTTCCATATAAATAGTGATTACGTTGTTCTCTTCTTTATGTTTCTTGTGCATATAAATATAGAAGATCTAGTATCTCTAAGTGATCAAGCATATACATTTAACAAATTATTGATTTTAGTTGTCACATTCAGCATTTAGCATTTGAACAATTGCAAAAAATTGCATAACGTTTTGGCACTAAAGTCTGCCAAAGAAATCCTGCATTGCATAATCTAAATATACAAATAAAATTCTTCATCATGTTTGTTCGTAAATTGTATGTCTCCATTTATGCAGTGGTGGACCTGGTGGTGCAGAACTAAACCCTCTTATTCTTCAAAATAAAGAGGATTTTGGGGTTGATTTTTAGGTTGGCACTTGATAACAGTAGAAATTGAGATAATCACCGGATTTTTTATTTGTATTTTTTTCATGGCAATCTACTAAATTATAGCATTTTGGGGTCATCTCTTTATCAGAACATTACATCTAGGTTCAAACTTCAAAGAGAAGTCTTTTTGCAAATTGGATTTAAAGTAGAAACAAAAATGGGTACGACTAGTACTGACCAAAGGCATGACTAAAGGCATGATTCGCACCTAACCAAAAAAATAAAATAAAAATGACCATCTGCACCATAAAATACTATATATAATACTACCTCCATCCTAAAAAAAAATCCACATTGAGTTTTTAAATTTGTATTAAAAAAAGTATAAAACTCAAAACTCAATGTAGACTATTTTTGTGGGAGAGAGGGAGTATTATAAACCAAATCACATAATCAAAGCAAAATAATCTAGTTTATGTCATGATTACCGTATCCAGTTTTTGAAAATTTTGGACAACTAATTCCTTAATTATGATTGGAATGGGAGTCTCTTAACAATACTCATTACCCGTTTTTCAGGTTTGGCTTAAACACTTCGGAGATTTCAGGAGGTCGATATGGATTGAGGATTGAGGGTTAAATTTGATGGAGATGATACTGCGGTTGACCTGTTGTTGGAATCAAGAACATCAATCCTCCCAACCCAGTCCAAATTCCAATACCAATTTTAGTACTCTAGTGCCGTTTCGAAATGAAGTCAAGGAAACAGATGTCCTCAATCCTAATATAACACCTTTAATGAAGACTCAAATTGTTAAAGAAATTTGGAAGAAAATTTTCAAGAAACTAATATCTTCCAAAAAATTATGAAAAAATGATAGCCTTTCTGAATAAAATCATTGAATTACCATGCCTGCCACTTACTCCAGAGAAGAAATTTACATCAACATTCATTTAAAATCACATACAATGAATTTTACAATGAATTTTTCTAAACTAAAACTAACATAATGAACTATTTCCAGGCCTTACGTAATCATTAGGCACGTATTGTAGAAAGACCTACTATATGATTTCCATGTGGAATATTAACTTCCACATGATCTAAACGTAGAGAAAAAAATGTCCAACAAAAAATTATTGAAATAAAATAGTTTGGAATTTCCACTACAGAAGCTTGGATCTTGTATCCCTGTCAATACGAAAAAAAAAGAAAAATAAAAAAAACACTAACATGATTTAAGTTTTTTTACCAAGTCTATTATTGTATTTAGGATCCGCATGCAATAATTAGTTAACCATAATTAAATATTAAAGTAAGACTAACTAAATATGATTGTGATTAACCATTTCATCAGAAAGCAAAAGCTTTCACGAAGGAGTTCGACCCAAAAGTAGCTGTCCAAATGTTGACTACGCGTACATGGACGACGTTCCAGTCGGATTTTGCAACTATTGGTGTCAAGTCTTTAAAGAAGTCGACATTCTGGCTGTTGCAGGAGATCGGCATATCTCAAAATTGGGTGGTTTTCATTGTCTGCATCAATGGAGTATTTGTCGAGATATATGGATGCGGTATGTAGCTTTGGTGTGAATGAGATTTGTTTTATAATGCACGAATGGGTTTTACTATAATCCGCATCAATTCTGATTATGATTAATGCGTAGTTTTTGCAGTCATCAGTGGGAAAATTTTTATTTGGCTGATCAACATTAATAATGAAGGAATCAAATATCTAGTTTCCGTTTTTTTTTTGGTTACTCTGAATTTTAAAAATATCATTCATTTTGACTTATTTTTATTGTTACATTTTTTTTCTTTTATCGAATAGAAATGGCAAAGTTCATAAATTAATTAATTGATTACAATGGGGTAAAATCATAAAGATTTTTCCTATAGTGACAATATAATTTATTTTTCGATAGTTTTGGTTTATTTTTCTTGTTGCGTTTTTATGTTTTTTCGAATAGAAGTGGCAAAGTTCATCATAAATTAATTAATTAATTAATTGATTTGGCCGATTCTTAACAATCAACATTAATTACAAAGGAATCAAATTAGTAGTTACCTTTTTTTGTTTTGTTAAACCGAATGAAAAGAAACATATAATTTTTATTTTTATTTTTTACCTGTTGCGTTGTTTGCTTTGACCAATACAAAAGGGAAAGTTCAGCAAAAAATTTACTTAAAATCCTCCTTATCACGACATCTTCTATTTATTATTTACTTTAATATTGATTGATTGATTTTATTAAATTACTTTAGGGATTATCGTCTCTTTTTTTGGATGTGAAATAATTACTGTCGAAAATCGTGGCAAATCATCCAATATTGCTTCTTAAAAAAATCAAACTAATGTTGATTGATTCATCAATGTCATTGATTTACGATTCCTTCTTCTTTTTTTTTGACTTTGGACAAAAAACAATCACATTAATGTTGATTGATTGGTTATAAGGAGTTTTAATTGTTCATGATTTTTTTTAAAAAAAATTATACCTACTCAATTAACCGTCCATTAATATAAATTTATATGTGATAAAGTTTATTTCCATAAATTCTCAATGACTTCTTGTGTAATTGCATAAATTTTTTTGTGAGAATTTTTTAAAAAATACCACATAGGATTTTTTCCTACGTGGCAACGTAAAAACTCTTCTTGGAATTTCTCTCTGATTTCTCTCTTAGTATAATACTATAGATACTATAGATGTTGATAAAGCCACGACTTTACTGTGATGGGGTTAGACTCGAACCGTAATTGTGATAGAATTATAGAATAGATAGTAAATTCCTAGATATTGATCATTTTATCATTACTTACTTTGTATCAAAATGATTGTCTCATATTCTAAAATTTAATTTTCTAAATAAGATACACTCTTTTCATTCCGAAAAATAATTCACTTTGTAATTTGTGAACAGTATTATAAATAATATAATTTACAAATTATAATGTAGATTATTTATTGGGAGGGATGGACTACTAAATTTAGTAATTTAAAGATTAAAAATATAAGATGATCTTTGTTCTTTCTTTCGGAACTGTTAAAGTGTATTCAATAAATGCTCCAATGATCATACTGCTTCTCTGGTGGGGCATCTCCATATTTGAACAAAAATTATCTATTGGTAGGTTAATTGAAGTGCTTATTGTTAATGAATTTTGTTAAGGCAAGTCTAAAAGAGAAAGATGGTTAAAAAGCACATTTAGCTTGTGGCATTATTCGCGTGAAAATTTAGATGTGATCTTAATGTGAATCAGGGTAACTGAACATATAGGGAGAACAAATAGTGAAACATTGGAACTTGTAAACCTCATTTAGCTATTCTTGTAAGTTGGTGTGTATAAGTTTAAGTGATAAAAGTAAAGAAGAAACCTTCAGCTGGAAAGCTAGCGAACTGTTATCATTTTCCATGACAAATTTGTCCTCTGATTTTATAATGGATTCATAGTAAGAAACGGAAAGATTTTTAATGTGAATATTTCTTTGAAGATAAGGTATTTCGCTTTACCATAGTGGAACAAATGTGATTGTTGCCTGTTTTGTCTTCCAATTTTCTGTTGATACTGAACTTTCTTGCCTGGTTTATCCCTCTATTAATAATTAAATCTGTATTTGGAGCAGACCAATTCTGATGGCGCCCAAGTTTGCAATGGATGATAGCTCGACTCTAATTTTGATACTACTCTAGTATTGGCTACCATGCTCGCGTCACAGCTGCATCATGGAACCTCAACACAAGTTCAACAAATGGAGGCTTCACATGGCCAGGCAGGTCAGAGAGCCAGCGCTGAAGATCCGAGGTCAACGGGAAATATGTCTGAGCATCCATCTGATCACACCAGAATATGGTCTGAGCTTTCAGGTAATGGTTCCATTTGTCTCTCAGTAAGAATGCGGTTACAAGTGCACGCATGTCTAGTAAATAATACATCAATATTAACAGGAAGTGCCGCAAGAAGTCATAATAGATCTGACGTTAGGCAAGTTCAAGGAGAAAGAAACCAGCGTACAACATATCAAGGAGAGTTCCAGAGGTTTAGTGCAATGCACATCTCTAAAGATGGTTCTTCTGTGGTTGTGCCCAATGTTCAAAACAAGTATCCTTCAACATCTATTTGTTTGACTCTTAGACTCTTACGAAAGAAATGCTATATGAGATGGAAAATAAAAGTTAATAATGTTTGAGACTCTACTGAGCATTTTTTTTTATGCCACCCTTCTGTATAAACTACTTCTTTATGTTTATATCCTTGACTAATAAGTGTCAGCCGTCCTCTTGAGAGAAATCATATGGAAGATCCCCGTGGTAAGCGAGAATGCAATTAGGATCTTTGTCTTGGGTCAGTTAATCAAGCAGTATACTCTAAATACTTTGTTTTGTTCTCAGGGAGGACAGAAGGTCATACTCAGGTATCTCAGCGCCATCCCAGTAACTGGACTGATCCAAACCGTGAATATATAATCCGACTGTCTCAGATTACAGTTCATCTTTCGGCCGGTTTTCAAACCGCAAAATCTGGTTTGGCCAATACTTTAGCCTTCAAACTAGCCAAACCAGACCGTATACACCCATGGCTGAGAGATTATTAATATGTCCATTTAGTTATATTGTATAGTGAGTGTTCCATGATGGATAGGTGGGGGAAGTATTGGAGAAATTGTTTTTGGGCTTGATAAGTGAGGGAGAAGAGGAGGCTCGAACGACATTTAGAAAGATTTTTTATTTATTTTTTTAAATTGAGCCAGAACGTCCCATTTGTTAGAAATCATCATCTCTAAATATATGATGATTATTATTATCTCTATGCTACAAAAAAAAAAAAAAAATCCAATTTGATGGTTATTTCTCGCTGGCCATCAATTTTATTATATTTTTATTTTATTAAATAATCTAATTTAAAAAATTAAAATTTAAATAACATTAGATGATTTAATCTTGTAAATTAAAAAATTATTAATAAGAAAATTAAATAAAATTTGTAAATATCTATGAATTTGTTTGTTTAAAATAAACTCATTTTCCTAGACGGATAGGTAATACAAGCATAAGCGTGGCTCCCGAATCCCTTCTCTATTTATGCACTTAACCACGAACTAGTGGGTCGAAAGAAAAGGCTGAATCCCTAATAAAGTATCTCATCTCTTATCAGATAGTTGTTTGTTAGGTTTTTTTTTGTATTTTCAAAATATTTAAATAATAACTGTCTCAGTATATTTTTTTATATTTTTAATACATTTTTTTACATTCTCAATACGAAATACACTTAAAAACACACATTAAAAAACCAAATAAACATAGTCAAGGCTTTACCGATGTCTCCAATCAACTCCAACGTCGGCGATAGGGCTTCACAGATGACGCAGGCTTCCCCCTCTTCCGAGGTAGAAACCCTTTCGTTGCTTTACTTTTTTTTTTTTTTTAATTTCACGTCGATTTTTTATGAGCCCACACCCGAAACCTCGACCCGTGAGTGAGCTTGTTGTCTTTGGCTTTTTGTTTGTTTATATTATTCTTTGCTGATTTTAGTTTTTACTAGTTTGGTTTTGTCTCAATTAGTATATGAGTACTCGCTCTGTTCTAAGATTATTATCCAGTTTGTGATTTCAGTTTTAGTACAATTTGAACTAAAAATTAAAATCTAAACCGGCCGGAACGGGAGGGTATTTAGTAACGCTCGCCCTTGTTTCTTGAATTTGAACTATGTTCGTACCTTAGTTGTTTTTACCTATTTGTTGAACTAATTCTCAGGTTAAGGGGTTAGGTTCTGATGTGGAGGGGATGATTACCCGAGATACTGTTGGAGAACTTCTCTCGGACAATCCTAGGCTTAACGAATGCTCTATTGAGGTTTGTGATTCGCTAAAGCCATCTTTTGTTGGTCTTAATGATATTGAATTAGGTTCGAGTTAAAAAGAGATTTGAAGATACTTTTAGTTTTCTGTACATTAATTTTATATATGTATATATATAAATTTTCAGGGTGAGAGGTTGGGGCCTGATTTGGCATCTCCTTCAAAGTTTACTAAGCACACAGTTGAAGATTTGCTGAAGGACGCTTCTAAGCTTAAGGCAAAAGGTTCAATTGAGGTTTGTGTTTATCTAAAATATTGTTCTATGCGGTCTAGTATACCTCAGTAAACAATATTATTAGTTTCATAGCAGAAAAGTATGGTCTTGTTTTATTTGCCAAACCAGTATATTGTACTACTGAAACAGTGACCAAACCGAAGCATTTTGTTGAAGTGATCCTTTAAAACTAGAAACCTCCCTTAAATTTAAAGGAAATTTTTTGTCCAAAGATAGAAATAATACTGTACACCATCTTCCTTGTAAGTCGCGGGATTTTTCTATTTTTTCTGTGCAAGGGTGGTGAGCCAAGTACATTCTTTTTCAAATTATTTTGTTCCCCCTGCACTGCAAAATTATTTTTTTTCAAACACAAGGAACCCATTTTTCTCCCAAAAGAATTTGTCAGGAAAAAGTCCCACCACATTTATATGAGAAGAATCCACAAACCAAAACTCTATTTGCACCGAGATTCAAATTATAATTTCTATAGCAACCGTCTGTTAATTATCCCCAAATTTTGGCAGATGTTATGTCCATATATATGAGATATAGATGCCTGAACAATCTAGTTGGTGTTTTTTTTGTTTTCCTTTTTTAATTTTTCCTGAGGTCACTTCTTTAAGCTTGGATTTCATTGCTGCTCTGTGGTATTTTAATGTTTGAAACAGTGAAACCTTGTATATCATGCTTGCTATTTAAAAAGATGAAATCAACATGGTTATGATGGATAAAACTGCGGAACTTGGCCATTGTTTAGCTTGTCAACCCAATGAGAATGAGAAGATTTCTGAGATTAAGTCAACGAGGTATCCTCTCGTTTAGTTGGCCAAATAAGAGAATGAAGAAAGACTGCGAAAAAGTGTTTGTATGATGAGTTTGATCGAAAATAAAAACATTTATTTGAAATCTCGGTCTTGTCATTATTTGCATTAGCGTTGGTGATGGATTTTTTTTTATTATTAATTTTTTTTTTTGGGGGTGGACGGGGGGTTCTTATTTGTTGGATTTTTAAAGATGCAGTCATGCGGAGACATGATCTGGAAGATGATGAACACATGTAAAACATCCTTGACTTTAACATCCGTGAGGGTAGCGAAGATTTGTAATTTTCATGGAGCAAACATGATGTCGTTTTTTTCACTATTCATTAGCAGTACTAGGATATGGTTTGGAAATAAAAGGATGTAGTTTCTGGATCATACATCTCCATTGTAGTATTAAATTGTATACATGTCTAGGTCAGGGTGATCCGTAATCTTGGTTTCTGTCTTGAGTGTTATTATGATGTTAGTTATTTTGCTTGAATCTCTGAATTTTATCTATCGTAGGATAAAGATGCTCTAATTGAAAGGCTACTAGAATATGTCAAGTGGCAGTCCTCTGAGAACAAGAAGTTGGAGGAGGATTTGGATCATTCGCTTGCTAAGGTTTTGAAGTTTGATGAGGTTTTGAAGACTAATCAGGCGGCTATGGAGGAGGTAATGCACGTAGATCTATATACACAAACACACATTCTTTTTCTTTCTATATATAAAGCCTCTGTAGAGTAGGTTGTTTTATCTAATAGGAAACAAATTGAAAAATGTTTGCAAGGAAAAGAAAAGTCGGCCTTGATCTTTTCTTTTTGTGTTGATGTAATTATCAATTTATGAAATGGTTAGGATACTTGTGTTGGAGATTCTTAAAGAATTATTATCTTACTTGATCATGTTTCTTTGTATTTTATATTCCTTTCCTCCCATGAAAAGAGTTTGCATTGTAAATTAATTAATAGAAAATACTTATTTAATGGGAGGTTATTAAATTGTGGAACTTTTATCATATCTTGAAATTATTATTTAATTGAAGTTATACTAAAAATTGTTTTTTTTTTTTCTCTTTACTAAATGAATGATCAAATTGTTTGTGTGCAGATCTTGATGGTTAGAGCCCTCATCGTGAAGAGTCTCTCTTCAAAAGTTTTTGACAAGGCATAATGGAAGAGCTGAAGAAGGATTTTCATGTGTGAAAGGCTTCAGAACAACTTTTGTTGTAATTGACATGTCCACGGTTTCATACCCGTGGGTTTCGGTTTCAGAACTTATGTTTCCGAAACCATAATGATGAGAACCTAAACCGAACCTTTAGACTTTGGTTCTGGTTTAAGTTTTAGAGCTGTTGGTTTAGATTCGGTTTCGGTTCTCATTAATGATGATTTCATAGTACATTTTGTAAACATTTATTTTGGAGCATATGTTTATGTTCCGAGGACTTGGTTTTGGTTCTGTGTTAATTTATCTTAAATTTAGTTTCTTTTAATTTGTGAAAAGTTATAAGAAATCTTAATGAAAGTTAAATGAATAAAGAACTTTTCAAATGAACCCAACACTATTTAGGTACCCAACGGTATATTTCTAACTTTATCGACTTAGGAGGGGGTATTTGCGTAGCATGGGATTCATCTGTAATAGCAAAGGTTGTAGTTGCGTCCCATAATTTTGTTATTATGAAAATTACTGTCAGCCGGTTACGAATGCGTCTGGTTTTTGTGTACGGGGAACCAGTAGTAAAGAGAAGGACAGAAATCTGGGAGCATATTCAAGCTCTTTGTCAAGAAGACATGGGACCATTATTGTTAATAGGGGATTTTAACCAAGTTCTTGATAGTATGTAGATAAGAAACGGGGTAGGGAACCCACAAAAAGGGAAAAGATAATCTAAAAAAAATGTTGGAAAACCTATATTTGTCAGAGATTAATCATAGAAGGGTATACATGGTGGAACGGTCTGAAGGGAAGTGATGAGGTGTTGGAAAGACTGGATCGGGCATTTGTGAATAGAGGATGGAAGGATCGCTTCCCAAGAGCGATGCTCGAAAATTTGCCAATCATGAGATCGGATCATGGACCAATATTGCTGGAGGCAATCCCGCGTGTGCGGAGTAGGGGAAGGCGAAGAAGGTTTGAAAATTTTTGGACTAGATATGAAGCTGTAAAGAAAATCATAAGAAGGAGCTGGAGACACAACAATATGTCACCGTTAGACCCTTATGCATCACTGCCTGGTAATTTCTCAGGCTCTTTGGAGATTGTAATGAAACACCTGTCGAATTGGCACGCACAATCATATGGAGCCATAGACGCCAGGGTGAGAGCTCTGATAAAGAAACTGGAGAGCTACCAGTTGGAAGGAAAGAACGATGCAAGACTGAAGGAAGAATTGGATGACCTGTTGGAAGACCAGCGGCAGTACTGGTAGCAGTGAGTAAAGATCGCTTGGGCTATCGAGAGTGAGGGCAACACGAGATTCTTCCAGAATGGGTTAAATGGAGGAGGGGAAGGAATTACATTACCCAATTGAAGGGTGATCGTGGAAACTGGGTTTCAGACCAGTCAGAGATGCATCAGTTAATGGTTTCGCATTTTCAGAAGGTGTATATTGGACAAGAAGGTGTGGAAGCGGAGGCTTTCATGCATTGTTCTCTGTCGGAGGTGTTGGGAATGATAGACAAGAGAATCTCATATCCAAGTCAACAATTTCTTATGCAAGCAGTCACCGGGGATGAGATTAAGCAAGCAATCTTTCAGATAGGGAAATGAAAAGTTCCTGGAGAGGATGGTGTTCCCCTTGGTTTCTACCAAGAATATTGGTCCATAGTCGAGGATGACTTGATCTCAGCAGTAAGAATGTTCTTTCAGACGTACAAATGGAACTAAGGTGGAACAAACCAGTTATTACTCTAATTCCCAAAAAGTTAAATCCCATTTCCCCAAACGACTTTAGACCCATTAGCCATTGCAATGTTACTTACAAAGTAATCGCTAAAATCCTTGCAAACAGGCTGAAAAGGGTTATCGACGAGGTAGTACAGGAGAGTCAGGCAGCATTTGCTCCAGGTCGATCCATTACAAAAAATGCATTGATTGCACATGAGATCTTGGAGTATATTCGAAAAAAGAAGGAAGGTAAACAATGCTACACAGCTTTCAAGCTAGACATGAGTAAGACATACACGATAGGGTATTCTGGACACTGGCTAAACATGTGCTCGGATCAATGGCGCAATATGTGATGGGAGCGTTCAAGATTCCAAAGACGGTGGCGGATAATATAGACATCTAACCTAGCAAGATTTATATGAAAGGGAGATGTGGACGGGAGAGGAATGCACTGGAAGGTGTGAAGTGAGATCTGCAAGTCCAAATAAAGAGGGGGCCTGGGAATGAGGAGAACTATGGAAATTAATCAGGCGTCTTTAGCTAAACTTGCATGGAAGATAGGGACGGACCACAACTCATTCTTCTCAAGGTTTTTTCTAGCTAAGTATTGCAAGAGGGATGATTTCTGGAAAATGGAGCAGAAGAACACTGACTCTTGGGGATGGAAAAGCATAGTGTGGGGGAGGCAGTTGGCAATGAGAGGGATGAGATGAAAAATTGAGAATGGGAGGACAGTAGAGGTCACTGAGGAATGGATTCCGTGTAGAACAAACCCCCTAGCGAGAGGAAGGAGAAGGGAGGAACTGGAAGGGAAAAAGGTGGCAGACCTTATCTTAGGACCAGGAAGGTGGAATGAACCAGAGATACAAGCCCTGTTCCCGTAGGATGTGGCAAACCACATTTTAGCCACATATATTAGAGAAGAGACCTTGCAGGCGGTAGATAAATCTTATTGGGCAAAGAAAAGCAATGGAGATTACACGGTGAAATCAGGCTACCATGAGGTGGTGAACCTCGCCCAAGAACAACTACCCTCTGCGTCTACTGGAGGATAATGCTTGATCTTTCAATTTTCGTTTGTTATGCTATTCTTCGAAAAGGACTATTTTCTCCGTTTCAAAATAAGTATCGTTTAAACAAAGTAGAGAAATTTCAATGCATTTTGTTTGTCTTAAATTTCTAAATTACATTCAAAAGAATTAGTCCTATCAGCAAGCAGAGAAATTTCAATGCACTTTTTTTTTCTTTAACTTCCTAAAATTACATTCAAGAGAATTAGTACTATTAGCAAGTATTTGCTGTATTGCTGTATTGGGGTTAGTTAAAAAGATTCTAATAATTTATCTAGCTATTCAAGTGTTTGTAGTAATAGAGTTATCAAAAATCATCGAATAAAAATTAAAGTTTCCTATTCCTGAATTTTCTCTCTCCATTTGGAGTCATTCCAATAAAATTTGAACGCAGCATGTGCACAAGGATAACCTGCACGAATTTAGAACCTACTTCTCAATTCTACTATCGCTTTCCACACCTCCGATATTCTTTAATTCTGATTCTGGCCACTGACGTCTAACACAATTACAAAAAAGAAGAACCGGACTCAAGAGGGGTATTGTTAATAAGGGCATTCCTACCAAAGAAGAAAAATGTCAATAAAATTTTATCTTCCCTTGTTATTACTATTTCTTAAAGCAAAACTCAAACTTTTTTTATTTTTTTTTAATTTTGAAGTAAACTGAAATTTGATATTTCATTCAAAAAAGACAAAATAAAATAAAACCTAACCACTAAAAAAATTTACTAACTTAAAAAAAAAAAGAAAAAAAAAAAGAAAGAAAGAGAGAGAGAGAGAGTACCTTTTCGACTTCATTTTTCACCGCACAGCGACTTAATCACCTAACATTAGATCGGGTCAGACCCATTATACAAGTAGTAGTGTAAGCTGGGGATCCCAAGTTCCATAATCAAGAAACCACCTCTCCGCATTTTCTCGTCTTACAATCAAGAAAAAGCCCTAGAACTCCTGAAATTAGGGTTGGAAAAAGTTGCTCTGTTCGCAGCGGTGAATCCGTGGTTCCAATGGCGGGCGTAAACGACGACGGTCTGAAGAAACTCGAGCATCATCCGCCGTTGATTTCTAAGGAGGTAATGTACTGAACTCCAGACTCATTTTAGGGTTTGAAGATTGAATTTATCCTTGAAACCGGTAGAAGTTGCGAGGATGTAGATCAGTTAGATGCGAAGCTCAAAAAGAATGGCGTTGAGATGCCTGATTGATTTATACGTTAAATATGCCTCTGTTCTCCATAACGTGTTCTACGGCGCTTTAATACGTGTAGTAATTTAGTTAAATTCCTTACTTTTTCGATCTTTTATTTATATTGTACTTATTGCAGAGCATCATTCAGATATTTGCCAAAACGTTAACCGGAAAGACCATCACTCTCAAATTCGAGAGCAGCGAGTCCATTGAATATGTCAAGGCCAAAATTCAGGTCCTACTTTATGTTCTTTGTACTCAGTAATGCGTTTTGCACATTGGAACTAATTTAGATGCCTGATTGGAACTAATTTAGTGAATATGAGTGACACTGTTCTTGACACTGTTCTTGCCATATGGTCTTTTCTTAGTCTTTTTTATTTTCTTGGTTCTGTTGGTGTGATATTGGAGTGCTTCTTTTGGTTTCATGCTCAGGTTTATCACATGGTCTTTGAGAGTAATGAAACTCATGTAGTCTTTTTGTTATCTTCGGTTCTGTAGGGTTAATTTCGGTGTGCTTCCTTTGATTTCATGCGAGGTTTAATACATGGTCTTTGGCTAGTTCTGTTTCAGTTATTCAGTTGAGTTTATGGTGTTTGTTCTTTTTATTTCTCCTCAAAAATTAGTTGTGGAAGAAACTTTCTGAAAATTAGCTGTTGTCTTCAGGATAGACTCCTTGTTATTTTTGCTAACTGTCGTTCGCAAGTTTTGCAATGTCCTCTGGTGTCCGCAATATTCTAAGCATTGTATATTTTTCGGTGGTTTTAACAGGGTAAATTGGGAATTCCGTCTGATCAACAGAGGTTGATTTTTGGTGGCAAGCAGTTAGAAGATTGCCGAACATTGGCTGATTACCATATTCAGAATGGATCAACCATTCAGTTGGTTCTGAGGCTTAGAGGAAGGACAATGATCAACCATTCACAAGTGAACTATAGAATCCCTTTTTTCTCTTGGTCAAACAAGGCTTTGGTTTGCCTAGTCATTGTTTTGAATGGATAAAGTCACTGCTGTTTGTTTCATCGGGTGAGTGGATTAGAAAAGCTAAGGTTAACTTTTATTAAGATAGTTTTTCACCAAATATTTGACTCCAGAGTGCAAAGAAATTCTGCTCTAGAGATATATGTATTTGTGTGTTTCAGGTTGTACATGTGTTTGCATCATGTGTTCTGACACATTTATTTCAGGGTTCTATAACTCTGTTGTTACTTTTGAAATGCTTTTACAACGATTTGATGATACGTTTCTTGTTGCAGACTCTTGTATGCTGATGAGCCGCTTGACGATGCGAAAACTGTTGCAGACTATAATATTGAGAGTGGTTCTGTGCTTAAACTTGCTGTTCCAATGGGGTTTGACATGTTTTTGAATGTTAATGACCTATACCAGAAGTTCTTGGTTGATGAAAACGGCGCAGGTAATGAATCATTTGTAATTTTATGATTTTGTCTACTTGTATGATTTGTTATGTATTTGAAATGAACCCTCCGTAAAGGATATGAGAACTTATGATTTTGTTTTGTTTTTGTGTTATAATTTGGAATTCAGATTTTGTGAAGAATATGAACATATGTGCAAGCAAGCTGACTACGAAGTCAATGGAGTTAGCGATTGAGAACGTAATGACGAAACTAAAGAAGGAGAAAAAATCTGTGCTTGATGAGAACACAAATCTCAAGGAACGGCTGCGGAGAATGGAAGAGCATCACAAAAAGGAGGAGAACAAAGATTTGAAGGAGGAAAACACAAAGTTGAAGAATGAAGTGACTTCAAAGGAGAAGGTGATTGAGAATTTGAAACGTGAAGCGAGGTGTCATAGGGTACAAGTTGAGAACCTGTACAAGAAACTGGGAGATTCCAAAAAGGATGTGGAGAATATAAAGAGATCTAGGGACAACTACCGAAAAGAACGGCAAAAAGCCAGTGGTTTAGGTAAATATGTTTTAATAAATTTTTGTTCACTGTTAAGCAAGTGTTGTACTTTTTACTGAGTGTTTAGTTGATAGTAAATTTCTTCAATTTTATAGAGGAGGAACTAAAGGCGACTCGAGAAAACTTGGCCTCGGTACTACAGAAGACAGGCAAGGTTTACAGTATGTTGGGTGTAAACGATCAAGCTAGGGATTTTCTTCTTACAACTGCGAAGGAGGCTAGAGAAAAGAACAAGATCTCCAAGGCCCAAAACTTGGCTCTGGAATCCAGCGAGGACGACAATGAACCCATCAGTTCGGACGAAGAAGAGAAGCAGGATTCTTAGATTCTGATAGTCTTGAAGTTCGGTTCAGGGTAACTACTATATAGCTCTTGAAACCCTGAATTTTACAGGGAGAACCGATTCAGACTTCGGCTTCCACGCCTAGAACAACTCAAACTCAACGTTTGCCCAATCTGTTTTGTCACAACCGTCCAATTTGAGACCAATGGGAAATGTTAAAGGTCAATGGAAATCTATTATCAAAATTGCTCCAACAAAATCATACTCATTTGATAACAAAATGTTTGTCTAGATTTGAATTTCAGTTTCAATACAAATTGTATTTGAACAAAATTACTAATAAAGCAACTATTTTTAGATAGAGCAAGTACTAAATTTAGTAATTCAAGGAGTAGAAATATACTCCATCGGTCTCACCAAAATAGTCCAGTTTGATAAAAAAATCTTATCCCAAAAAAAAGTCCAATTTCAAAAAAAGTTAAAATTGAAACAGGTTAAATGACTTAAATGACTTTTTTCATAAACACATCCGACCAGTACCAAACTTTCAGTTCTAACGGTGATTTTTGTCGGTCGAGCTCCGGCAGTGAATCCCTAAATCCAAAATTTAGGCATTAATTACGCATTAATTGGAAACTTGGTAATCAACCGTCTCTTTCTGAGAATTAAATGGGAAGGCAACGGAAGGTTCAAAAGTAGAGAGGGTGAACAAAAGCAGAGTAACAAAGATGAGAAGGGGACAAATCGAAATGGTGGATTGAGCTTTGGAAAGATGGCTTGAATTGGTTCTCTTATTAAAGGATGGAAATTGACCAAATTGTTGAAATCTTTTCTTATAATAACTGTTGTTTCCTTCTTCTTGATGCTGTTGTTGTTGATCTTCTGGGAGAAAGACGAAGAGGAATCCCATACCCGATTTTGATGTTGATGTTGTTGCTTTTGCTGACAGTAATGATTCTGTTCCTCTTTTTCACAACTGTTGAAGAGGTTGGTTTTTTCTAAGAACGGACTTTGAAAAAAAATGTAGAGAGGTGGTGGAAATGAAAAGATGACGATGGGGAGAAGAGGTAATCGGCGGGTCTCCGGTGGATCTCCAACGGTTGATATCGTCGGCTTGAGAGATCGAAAGAGAGAAATCGAGGAAGTACGGGAATCAGATTTGCTATAAATTTTAAATTAGGGTAAAATTGAAAGTTCTTGGAACAAAAATGAGTTGTTCCTTGAAGGGTTGACTAAATTAAAAATGTTGTATATTTTGAAACAGGACTATTTTTGTGGGACGGAGGGAGTAATTTATAATTCACAAATCTTTTAGATATATAAAAGGAATTTTGATCATAAGACACATGTCGCTCAATTAAGATATTAATAGCTTTCACAGTAGATATTAACGGTAAAAATAGTTAATCTTTTATATTTACTATTTATCTTAAATTAAATAGTAAATCATTTGTTACTTTTTGTTTACTATTCACCAGCCTTAATCTCCAATTATTCGGTTAATCGTTATATCTAGAACAATTTCTAGACTATTTCCAATCATTCTACTACTGCCGATAACTCCGTTTTATTGCCGTAAAAACTAAACCTGAAATTATTTCACTGTTGATTATTTCTCTTGATTCCGGCAGAATTTCGGCATCGCTTGCTACTTGAAATGCTTCATATGGTTTTTTGGATATATATATATATATATATATATATATATTTTCCCGAACCGAATTGCCGGGTAAAATCGTCATCCTTTGGGATGTAATCGTTGTCGGAATATACATCTTCAGGCCGCCTTTTTCACGTAAATTCATCGAAAGGTGATGATGGAGAGGAGAAGAAGAAAGACAGGGACAAGGAAGAAGAGAAGAAGGAGAAAGGCCCGCAGTAAAGAGAAGCACACGGCCAATGTAAGAATGAAAGTCTAAACAAAGAAGAAAGTCGTCGGCGGCGGCAAAGAAGAAGCACCAATGCTTTTGGATTTAATATCAATGGGTTAGGGTTTTTTCTATTATTACAACATAGTATTACTTTATTTGACCTATTCTAAATTTGAAATTCAATAAACTTTTTAAATATAGAAAAATATGCATATAATTAGACTTGTGGGAGGTGATTTTGTATTGTTTGAAATTCAAAACAAGATTAAACTTTATGATAAAACGATCACATTTCACGTATCATGCCGGTACATACATAGTAATGGACTCAAGTCCAAGTTCCCGCAGAAGACCTCCCGGACAAAGACCTCAGCGGTAACCTTGACTTCTTCTATCCTTGTAATACATATTTCACACTTTCTTTATTAAACATGTATTAAGGAACATGTTTTATACACTGGTCTTCATTTGTAATATAGGGTCTACAGCTTCAATCAAGTAGACAATGTCGCTGGTTTGTTCCCTTTATAAATTTGTATGAAATAGTGGATTTAAGTTTCTTAATCCTCATCTCCCTCTCGAGCATGCTCTTTCTCTCTCTCTCCTTTTCTCTCTCTTACATATACATGGATTTTATAATTTGTCAACGATGATAGAGGGCAGCAGTGTGTATATGCGGGTTGTTCACTATTTAATAGATCTGTAATTTTTTTTTATTATAGGAAGCGTCATAGGGAAATCGAAGGACGCAAACGAGTCCAGAGTTTGTGGACTTCGAGATGGGCAGTGGAAATTAGGATTATTGCCTACTGAAGAAACTGGAAGTTTACATTTGTGTGTATATGTTTCCATTTTAGATTTAGTATTTTGTTTGATGAGTAGGGAAATAAAATCATGGTTAGGCAACCAGGTTTATGAAATTCTTGAAGTTCAAAGATACTATTTCGAAAAAAATTATTTTTGCTTTTTTGTCAACATAATTTTTTGGTGGGGTTTAATAAATAAATATAAAAATGCTGCGGAAATTTCAAGAATCACTTAAAGAATACAAAAGAAAAAAAAATAAAAAAATAACTCAAGACTGGGAAATCTTATTTGATGTGATAATATTGAATAATGAAAAGACCTTTTGATGTAGTCAATTTCTTTGAAAAACCTTTTTGATGGATGAGATATTTTAACTTTTTTTTTTAAAAAAAAAAGGTTTCATTTTCAAATACAGTATACTAAAAATAACAAAGTTACTTGATCAACTAATTTAAAGTAATATAGAGGTAATAACTTTTTTGATTGTTTTACCAATTAAACTTTAACTATCAATTAGTGTCTATTTCTTTCAAATTTTGGATGACTCCACTTGCATTTTCTTAAAAGGAACCTAAATATATATGAGTAGTGATATGTACACAGAAAAAATAATAATGAAAATTTACAAGAAATGATGTGTCAAACATCAAAACTAAACCTTAACCTTAAATACTTAAACCCCATATGGAAAGTTTTTAAAATGGACGGGTAAGATCATTTCCTTATTATTTTTCCTTGTAGCTATTATTATTCAATATATATATTTGTATTGATCCCAATTAGGTGTATCACCATATATCTCTCTATGTGTATCCCCTCAGTTTGTGAGATTTATATAAATCTTAATATGACTGTTTTCGTTTATAACTAGAGAAAATCCAATATCTAAAGCAGAAACAAGATTTGATGTCGAAATTAAAACTTTGAAAGGCCATGTTCATATATCTTAAAGTATGTGAGAGATGAAGGTGATCATTTAAAGTTTGAAGGCCAATTTAAGCAAAATTCGTAGTGGAAAAAAGGTGAAATAAATGATGTGGATTATTGAAGAACGATTAATGTTAGTTGGGACTTGGGATCTGTACTGAAACTAGAACAAAGGTATTTATTTATAACAAAGAATAAAATAGAATTATTTAGTACTCTCTCCATTCCAAAATATATGTCGTTGGAGGAAAACTGTTTTTTTTTTAAATATATATCTCGTTTTCACATATCTAGGCATATTTTGTCAATTTCTTCAAACATTGTCCAAACATGGGAAATTGTAATTGTATTTAAAGTAGAAGTGTATTAGAACTAAATGATATTGGGAATAGAATTGTATTGAGAATAAATGAAGGTAGTTTACTATTTTAACCAAATATTTATTGTCTTTTTAAATTTTGTGAAACTCCTCCAGTAACATATATTTTGGAATGAAGGGAATATCGTCATTCGAACTATACAAATCTTTTAGCAAAGGGATTTATATTCATAAAAAATGTATTAATAATTTATTTCACTAGAATACTCCCACAAGTCCCAAAAATGATAATCCATATTGTACTTTATGATTTTATAATTAAAAATAGTATAAATACAAAACACAATATGGATATTGTTTAAATATCGAAAAGTATTATATCTGCCGCACAACGTGCGCGTATAATATTATTTATAATAGATATTTTCTTGAGACAACATGGGGTACTACTAAATTTAGTAGTTCTGTTTGTTTGATTTTTTTTTAATGGTTTTTTCATTTTATTTTATTAATAATTGTCCCAACCATCATACTTTTTTACATTTCAATACATCTTTTTATCTTTTTAATATAAAAAATACCTAAAAACACACTAAAAAAATGAAACAAACATACTGAAGATTAGATACATGGTGTACTCCGAATTTAATTGGATTCATATACTTATAAAGTTATAGCCTCGGTCCATTTTCAGAAAAAAAAAAACCTTTGGCCAAAAAAGCTATTCTCTAAACGGGTCATTCTTTCGGGTTCCCGCCATGGGAACACGATTACTCTCCCAATTCCAATTTCAACATTCAACTGCAAATTTGTTGGACTCCAGATCTTAGTGAAAATGGAGTGGAGCTTAAGCGGAAACGCTCTGAAGACATTGGCGAGGTCCATCACCTGCCTTGCCCGAATCGGAAATGAGCTCGCCATTCAAGCTTCTCCTTCCCGGGTACCGCTCTTCGATTTAAACATTTTTTTCCCTCTTCTTTTTTTTTTTGGGGGCGGTTGGGGTTGTTCCTCTGCCTTTCCGCCTAGCCGGTTACTGTTCTGTTTTTGTTTAAATTGTTCTATTCAAAATTGAAATGTAGTAATTAATGGGTTGAAATTCTATCTCGTAATCCTATGTTTGTAAGTTCGGGCTTGATTTGAATTCGAAATTCGCCCAAGCAACTGTCGCTAGGGTTTTATTTTTGGCTGAATTAGATGGTAATTTCATAGAAAATTCTTAACGGTTTCATGGATTTCACGTACTTCTTGGTAGAGGGTAGCTTCTTTATTTTATTAATTAGCGGTTTTTTCCCCTTTAGTGATGATTAATGAACTTTTATAATTCTGGATTTTGTTTACATTTGCAGCTTGCCTTTCATACCCTTAACTCCTCAAGGTCTGCCTATCAGAATTTCACATTTAAGCCTGATATCTTTGATGTTTATACGGTATCTGGTTCCCAGGTGCAAGCTAGTTTGCTCTTGAAGGCAAGTACCTTTCATATGTGATTTTCGGGAAGTTCGTGTATTTTGATTAATAGTAATTGAAATGATGTTAATATCTGCCAGGCTATTTGCTCTGTGCTTCGGACTCCTATTTCGAGTATTGATAACTTGAATGTTCTGTTGCCTGATCCTGATGCGCCAAAGATGCAGTGGACTTTGAACTGTTATAACGGTGAGAAGGTTACCACAATTCTGCTTGGTTTTCATGTAGATTAGTAGGCGTTCTTTGTGCTCATTGGTGGATTAATCTTGAACTTCATTAATAGATTCTGAACTATGCATGAACTCACACTGCTGCGATAAACTTACTGGTTGCGGTATGCTGACAATTTAGACTTGTATAAACTGTTCAAGAGAGTTAATTTTTCTGGAGATAATTCTTAGATGGATCATGTTTCCTTGGTAGCAAACATTTAAAGAACACATTTCACATATCACTGGGTATTCTTGTCATCATTGGTAGCATGGCTCGCGTCTCAGGAATTCATACCACCGAAAGAATATTTTGTTTTGAGATTCATTGTTTATTTTCTCGTATCATTTAATCCCTACCCAGTAAAAATTTTATATGCAGCTTTTGATAGTATAGTTCCTTTTCTGTCTATAGAACTGTACTTATCTTAGCAAAAGGCATTAATTTGGGCTATGTTCTTGTGTTATTGATGGATATACGAAGTCTATATATAATTGGCTTGTTGTTACAGGAATGAAGAAATCTTATTGGATTACTTGCAACATTGAACCTGATATTCAGCAATTATCACTTGATAGGAGAAAGCTCCCCAGCAACTTCGTAGTGAGACCTCGTGATCTGAACCGCTTGCTGGGTAACTTCCAGACAAACCTTCAGGAGATAACAATAATAGCAACAGAGCCTACTTCTTTTCCACCTGATGCAGCAAATGAAATAGGTGGAAAAGCGGTTGAGCTAAGGAGCTATATAGATCCTACAAAAGGTAGAAGAAACCTTATGTTGACTTGGTTTGTCTGCAAACTTTTAAGCTTTATTTGTTCTGCAATTGAGCTCTGGGCTTTATATGGTAGACAATGATGCGTCATTGCACACTCAGCTGTGGATTGATCCTACGGAAGAATTTGGCCAGTATACACACAGTGGGGACCCAGTAGATGTAACCTTCGGGATGAAAGAGTTGAAGGTTTGTTGTCATTTTGTGTGAAGCCCTAGCTCTGCATGTCTATGCTGACAGCAACAGCCAACTGTCAGCACAATCATGCTGCGGCACAAACATTTTGTTGTTGCTTCTAGTCGTTCAGTTTGAACTTTAAGTGAAGCTGAACCCTTCTTTCAACCTTCTATGTTGCAGGCATTTCTTTCTTTTTGTGAAGCATGTGAAGTTGATGTTCACCTTTATTTCGAGCAAGCTGGAGAGTAAGATGATCTTGTTCTTTCTTTCAGAACTGTTAAGTATATTCAATAAATGCTCCAACGATCATACTGCTGCTATGGTGGGCCATCTCCATATTTAACAAAAATAATCTTTTGGCATATTGGTAGGTTTAGTGAAGTGCTTGTTATGAATTTTGTTAATTTAAGTCTAAAAGAGAGATGGTTGAAAACCACATTTAGCTTGTGGCATTATTCGCGTGAAAATTTTAGATGTGATCTTGATGGGACTCAGGGTAATTGAACTTATAGGGAGAGCAAATAGTGAAAACATTGAACTTGTAAACCTCATTTGCGATTCTTGTTGATTAGTGTGGTATTTAAGTTTTAGTGATGAAAGTAGAGAAGAAACCTTCAGCTGGAAAGCAAGCAAACCGTTAACATTATTCCTTGACCAATTATTCCTCCTTTTATTTTATACTATGAATCCATTTACTGTGAATCCATTTAGTGGATTCATAGTAAGAAACAGAAAGATTTTTAATGTGAATATTTCTATGAAGGCAAAGTATTTCACTTTATCGTAGTGGAATAAATGCGATTGTTGCCTGTTTGTGGTCTTCCAGTTTTCTGTTGATACTGAACTTTTTGCCTGGTTTATCCCTCTATTAATAATTAAATCTGTATTTGGAGCAGACCAATTCTGATGGCTCCCAAGTTTGCAATAGATGATAGCTCGATCTCTAATTTCGATACTACTCTAGTACTGGCTACCATGCTCGCGTCACAGTTGCACCATGGAACCTCAACACAAGCTCAACAAATGGAGGCTTTGCATGGCCAGGCAGGTCAAAGAGCCAGTGCTGAAGGTCCAATGTCAAGGGGTAATATGTCTGAGTATCCATCTGATCACACCAGAATATGGTCTGAGCTTTCAGGTAACAGTTCCACTCGTCTTCCAGTAAGAATACGGTTACAAATGCACCCATGTCTAGTAAATAATACATCAATATTAACAGGATGTGCCGCAAGAAGTCATAATAGCTCTGAAGTCAGGCAAGTTCAAGGAGAAAGAAACCAGCGTACAACAGAGCAAGGAGAGTTCCAGAGGTTTAGTGCAATGCACATCTCTAAAGATGGTTCTTCTGTGGTTGTGCCCAATGTTCAAAACAAGTATCCTTCAACATCAATTTGTTTGACTCTTAGACTCTTACAACGAAAATGCTATAAGAGATGGAAAATATAAGTTAATAATGTTTGAGACTCTGGTGAGCACTTTGTTATGCCACCTTTCTTTATAAAGTACTTCTTTATGTTTATATCCTTGACTAAAAGTTTTAGCCGTCCTCTTGAGAGAAATCATATGGAAGATCCCCGTGGTAAGCGAGAATGCAATTAGTATGTTTATCTTGGGTCAGTTATCAAGCAATATACTCTACATACTTTGTTTTGTTCTCAGGGAGGACAGAAGCTCATACTCAGGTATCTCAGCGCCATCCCAGTAACTGGGTGGATGCCGACGAAGATGATGAAGACACTGAGGAAGCTGAGATATGTGTGCAGTCAACACCTCCCTGCTATGAAGAGTGATGGAGATGATTTGGTGCCCGATTCTAGGTTGTTACTTGCAGTTTTTGGTAAATGCTCAGTAGCCCTTTACTTCCATTTATCGGTTAACCATTTGAAGAAAATTCATGATAATGATGATGCATGCCATGAAAAGTTAAGAGTTGCATTCAGATTCAAGCGTATTTAAAGAATGGACTTGGCCTTGTGCCGTTGTATAGATTTTTAAGTTGGACCTTTATGAAAGATTGGTTGATTAGGAAACGTCATTTGTACAATTATGGAATATGCTACAGAGAGTAATTCTCAATCTTCAGCAAAAGACTAGTTATATTCCTTTTGATTGTTCTAGCTTTTGTGGTTAAGCATGCTGAGCTCAGCTGGCCCGATTTCAGCCAAAGAATGTTGGACGAATTCATTCTTTCTAACAGCTCACATTTCTGATACGGGAGGGGGGGATGTCTTTGAATTTCCACACTGGAGTAATTATTCCGTTATAATATTCAGGTCTGCACAGAGAGGATATTTTGTTATACAAATCTTCAAACTCGATGTAAACTATTTGTTTGGAACAAATGGAGTATTTTTTTTTTTTTTTTTTTGAAGTTCTATTATCAGAAGTGACAATTTTAGAAATTTGTTATATAAATTCTCCGAACTGTTTGTTTTCCTTTAATCACTTAAAAGAAACGAAATGAATAATAATCCTCCATTAGCGCCGCTTAAAAAATGATATAATGATGCAATAATCCTCCATTAGGATCATACAATGATACAATGGCGCCGCTAAAAAAAAAATTATTTTTTGCTCCCAAAGCCATGTCTGCGGGCATCATAAAATGAAAAATCATTGCCAATGATTCAAGCCTTTGTTGATGGTAACCAAATTGTCCAAATTCAATCATGATATATTATAAATATAAAAGCATTGTATGGGCGGTGTGTTAAGTAAATTATAGATTTTGTTGAGCCACCCCGGTGCTTGGTCAATCCGACTCTTTTGTTTATTGGCATTTCTCTTGTGCATATTCGGTTGTTCATACTTGAGGTAGATTATTCTAATATGTGAAAATGTCAATGACCTCGTCATTATTTGAATTTGATATTCATCATGGACTTAATCCTTGAAGCTATATAAGAGAAAACGGGAAATTATAATAATTAAAAAAAAAAATAGTCACGTCACATAGTTATAAAGCAGTAATTATTAATAATAATTGTTTAGAGAGTTTATTTTTTGAAACAAACATACTGTATTTGATTTGAATTTGGATTTGTTGAAACTGTAAATTCAGATGACCATGTGTAATAGTTAATATTCTAGTCAAAACTCAGAACTGGGGGCATGAATCCACAATGATGTCTTAATCAAATAGTTTAATTCAAGTAATATTTTTCTTTTCGCCATCATGTGAGTTAGTGGAATACCTCTAACTAGTAAGTATGTAAAGGCTCGTTCAGTAGTTTAATTTTCATATTATGTGGTTTGAGAGAAAAAAAAATGAAAAAAAAAAAGAATCATTCTCTTCTGTTCGGAGAACGATTAAAAGCATAAAATCCGAATCTAAATAGTAGTAGTAGTAATAATTTCTTTGCCAATCTTTTTTTGGGTACAAAAAATACGTAAAAATAAAGAATTGGTACCAGTATTTTCTTCTCATTCAGCTCCCGAATATATACAGCTGGCTTTGACGTTTAGTCGAAGCCTCCCCACTATTTTTACATACAAACGCGCAAACACCGCATCTTGCTCTGATCTGTTATCGGGACCCACACCCGTTAAGTTTTAAGCTTAGCTGTAACGGCAACGTCAATGAACACCCATTTTCCAATTCTGCCGCCGCGCTGACGTTACCGTTCCAGGTTCAAAAACACCGTTGCTTTTGCAGCTTGCACTCGAACCGAGTTCCATATACTCGGGGCACGTAATCTGCCGTTGCCGACGTTACCGTTCGTACTTAACGCCGTTCGGCCATTGCTTGCTCACACTTTGAAGCCCGCTGACGTTCCCGTTTGAACTTTAACGCTGTTACTGCTTTAACCTTTGCACGTACTTTCAAAATTGGCTAGCATTAATCTTCGTACAAAAAGAAAAAAAAAATAGCTTGCATTAATGCAGTGGCATTTAAACGGATTATAACTGTTGTTGCTGACCGTTAGTTAATAAAAATCTTTCCCACCTCTTCTTTTTGAAGTAAAAGGGAAAACAAGAATTGGAATTTTAGCAGAAGGAGAACCTTATTATTTTTTAAAAAAAATTTATAAAGCTACTATCCCAAATTTATTCAACTGAAATACTACTATCAACAACGGCTCTTTTTTTAGACAGACAATTATTTCTTTTGTCACAAAATTAAATCTGTATAATAATTTGGAGACGAAAAGTACTACAAACTGCTCAAGATAGAATCTATACAAAAATGGCAATACTAGCATTTTAAGGGTCATCAGTCATCACTGAGTCTTAGAGGAATTAGGAAACAAAATATCATTAGTGAAAAAGCAAATATTGAACGAACTTTTTTAATCATTTCCAAGGAAAAAAGTAGTTTTCCATTTTTTCAATATACTATTTTTCCCCTCTTAATTCCCATAAAAAAACTAAAGTGAAGGAACATAAAAATAGGAATTATTTTTATCCCTTGCAAAATAAGTAGTGAAAATTTCCGAATGACTAAACATGATTAAGATAAAGTCCACAAAAAAGAGTAGATATAATAATTTTTTTCTTTTAATAAAAAGATTAGGAAAATGATGCAAACAAAAGAGTGAAAACAGTAAAAGGGTGGTTGGAAAGAGAAAACGTGTACAAGTGAGAGAGAGAGAGAGAGAGAGAGAGAGAGAGAGAGTTGGACAGACAGAAACCCTAGATAAATACTATAGCTGCCGTCCCTTTTTTATAGTATTCTTTTAACCACTTTTCTCGAAAATGGACTGACCTCCTTCTTAAACATTAGGCCAATCTTTTTAGCCAAAACTACGAAATTGCCCGATTCCCTAACTCTAGCATCTCTGGTCTCTACTATCACATTTGGTTTAAGATTTGGAAGTCAATGTTTTTTTGGTTTATAGAACACATGTTCAACTTACATAATTTCACCAACTCTATGGCAGTTGGTAACAATTATTTTCCAAATTAATAAGAAGACATTTTTTTCCAAATATTATTTGAATGATCCTTTCATTGGTGACGATACAAGTATACAACAAGCATAGAGTATAAGCAAAATAATTATAATAATTTATACATTTACCCTTATTTAAATGTTATTTTAATGCATAATGCCAGTTTTTTATCAGTTTTTTTTGCCCCTCAATGAAGTTGCTTTGTTTGAATGATCCTCGAATATTTTGTTTAGTTATGTACGCCCACCAATCCGATGCTTTGTTCATTTGGTGTAAAGTTTATCTATCTTCTATACTGTTATTATTTTAAATGATTACACAAAATTGAAATGACGTTTATAAAATTTTTGTTATGATATTTTGACTATTTTATCCATTTTTAAAAAATAATTCACATTAATTTTTAGAATTTCTATTGGACAGTAACATTTTGTCAATATTAAAATCCACAACAATTATTAACCTAATTTATTTTTAACCCTAATTTACTTTTTAGCTGAGAAGAAGAGAATATATGTTAGTACATGTCATATTCTGAAAACCTGGCATTATGACTCCCCCAATCTTCTACGAATCCGCGTTTTAGTTCCTTTGTTCTCTTTTTTCTCAAAAAGTCCAACGTATCAAAAGAATGAGATTAGGTTGGGACATTAAAAAATATGGTGGTGGGCATCCATTAACGTCTACCTCAATGATCTCTCTCAGGGTGGCAATCTCGTAAATTTCTCCAAATTCAAGGTCAACAACTCTCATTCCCCAACTCTACTTATATAGCAACGCACATGGCAAGCTCAAAGTCATTAGGCCACAACTTGTCAGATTATACTAGCCTCCAAAAGTAAAAGAAGGGAAAAAAATCCTCGCCGGAGAGAGAAATTTCGGAGCAAGAAAAAAGGAAGTATTCCGGCGAAGAAAGGGAGAGAAAGAAAAATCATGTCAGGTTCTTCATCTCTATCGATTGCCTTGGCTCTGTGTCTGTTGACAACAGCTGTGGTTCTTTCCACGGTTTGTGCTGGTGGGGAGCAGTTCTACGATTCGGCCGATATGGGTTGGTTGATTCCGGCGGGATCTGGGTTGGTCGGCGACGCGGAAGCGGAGTTCGAGCTGGATTCGGAATCCAACAGGCGTATATTAGCCACAACGCGCTACATCAGCTACGGTGCGCTGCAGAGGAACAGCGTCCCCTGCTCCAGGCGTGGACAGTCCTACTACAACTGCCGGCCCGGAGCTCCGGCGAATCCCTACACCCGCGGGTGCAGTGCCATCACCCGATGCCGGAGTTAGTTTAATTCATACCCAAAATCCCCATCGGCTCTTTGTCTCCCACCCCCTTTTGACTCTTTCTTTTTGTTGAGTAAATGATTTTTTTTAAAAAAATTTATCCTCATTGATTATATATACTGAAGAGAGTGATGGGATTGGAAAAAAAAGAAAAAAAACAGAAGGATTAGATGATTGGTGTTTGGTCGGAAAAACTTGGGATTCTTTGCGACGATGATGTTGTCTTCATGTACTACTATCTTTTAACTAGTGTTTTGTCAATAATGTGATTGGATATGTACAATATACTACATCTTTTTTTACAGTCAATTGTTGTCCCTTCTTTCGTTTGCATTTCAATTCAATCAGTTCTCTTGATTATATTATCCGGGTCTTGATCTCTGTTCTAGTTCCGGTTGGTCAAATTTTTCTCCGCACTAAGTTCTTCAATACTTGCAGTCGAGCGCATTTTTCATCAGGGTAACCTTGTTTATTCATTATCGTCGAGTTTAGAAAGGAAGGAGATTTGATTCAGAAGTCTTTAATGTTCCTCTGTAGAATTCCAACGATGCAATAAGCTGGAAAAAGTGAAAGGAGTGTTGAAATTGTTATAATGGTGATCTTGATGACTGTTCTTCAATTTGACTAATTTGCGTTTGGTGTTTAGCTGTTTTCTTACTCTAAATACCCATACTCCGCGATGGGATGATGTTGGTTTAGTTGTCAATTTCAGATGATGAGCTGTATTTGTGCAAAATTGAAAGCTCTTTGATTTCTTTTGATTTTGTTTGTACTTTTGTATATTTGTCATCTAGATTACAACAGCTAAGATTATGACAGCCAATCTTTTACTTGATTGGTGGTTTCTTTACGTAGCCGGTCGTTGAATAATGCTCTTTTAGATGGTTGTTGCCTTGTTGGTATCGGTTTGTGATTACACTGTTGCTTGACCTGTTAATATAAGTAGTAATAATAAAACTGAACAATTATTTTGGGAGGAATATCTTTTTGTTTGGACTTTTGTCAAAGACGGATAATTTTCGGTTTTCCTCGTTAAAAAGAGATATTACTATTACACAATACATTGTGCTGCAGATGAGAACGCCACCAATCACGCATTTTGGTCCAACAAAATAGGAAACACATTCCACTTCCATAACTTGATTTTTCATTTTTCTTTAGTTTGATGACTCGTTGAGCCATCGTTATTAGTGTGTTTCATACTTCCATCGTAACAGAAGGATGATGCCCATAACTAACACTTCAAAAAACAAATAGATAAACCAAATCATCAATATCAGAACACTCTCAGAAAGGTGATGAAACAAAAGAAAATAATGGGGTTTTTTTTTTTTGTTTCCTTCTTTCTTTCTTTCGGTCAAAAATTGGTCCACTGATATCAAAATCACATGATATGCATGATTCTGCGCAAAGAAGTGATACAAAGTGCCAAGCATCGTGAAAAACTGAAAGATTGTATAAAATTCTGACAACATTTTGTTTAGTAATAATAATGATGTTTTGGTTTTGTGCTAAGATAATGATCAACATCATGTTCTACACTTTCACTAAAAAACCCTTTTAGCCTCAGCAGAAATAAAAAAAAAAAAAAAACCCCATTTTGTTCCGAAGTAATTGTCCAGTTTAATTTTTAATTGTATAAAAAGTGATAATTTAAGCGGGATAATCTTTTTGGGACGGAAATTCTTGTTCGTACCTATTTGGTTGCATATTCTGGCAGCTTGCTCCGGAGTCAAGGATCTAACTTCTCTGTTTTGATGGGAGCTTTCCAAATCCACATTACTTGCCTATTTCCAACGACTGAACTAGAAGATGCTAATTTCCCATTTGAATCAAATAGATTCCTTTACATTGTTTACAAAAAAAAATTCATTTAGATGCTCAAACGGTAAATGCGGCAGAAATTCGAAAATGATCAAAAGTAACCCCTAAAGAATGGGCTGACCCATTACTTTGGCCCGTATCATGCCGCTTCTGTGAGGAGAAATTGGGCCAAAAGTTTGTTGAGTGTTTTTCCAAAAGTTTATTGTTGTTGAATAATGAATAATGAATATAATAATCTTGGAAAGTAAAGTGGATCATTTCAACTTTCAAGGTTAGACCAAGAAGAATAACGTACAAATTTAGCATATGATTCTTAAATGGTTGAAAAGATATATGAGTATTTTTTTTTTTTGAGTAAAGGAAATTTATTTTATCGAAGTGTAGAGAAAAAGGAGTTTTCGTCACAATGTTTTGCTAAATTATGCTCTAATTCTAAACTATTTCTACTTACTTTACTAACTATAAAGGACCGATTTACGATTTGACGGTGGAGTATTTTCTTTATAGATCCTAGATTTCTACTGCGGCCTTTTCTGATTGTGCAATGGCCTTAATGACATTTAGTGAGTCCGTTCCTATTGTGGCAGTTGTGATTCTATTTTGTAACGCAGACCTGATTATCAGTAGACATGTATAGGCTTCTACTTGAAGTGCAGATATTGCCATAAATTTCATAGTTTGATTGATCTTGGAGAGAGTATTTTGTGCCATAATCGTCCATGCTCCTGCACCCTCAAAAGTTTCCTGTTGGAAAGCTCCATCGAATAGGATTGTCGGTCTATCAGACTGGACTGAGGGATGTGAATTATATTCTTCCGAATGATTGTTTCAGGGCCAGTCTTGATTCCAATTTTGTATTAAGCTCTAGTATTCTACTTTAGCGCTGTTGAGTACCATTTCTGGAGTTTCTTTTTGGTTTTTCCAGTAAAACTTATTTCTACTTTCCCAAATATGCCATAAAATTACCAATGATTCTTCGAATGATTCCCGATCTGGTGCGCTGGCGATCCAGGTGGTAAGCCATTGCTGGATAGAGTCCTGATTGCTACTCTCGAAGTTGAAACCAAATCTTGACAGAAACCAGATTCTTCTTGTTTTGTCACACTCTGTAAAAATATGTGTTATTTTTCTCTGTTAATTGACATTCTAAGCAAAAAGAAGGAGTGAGAATGCCCCTTTTTCGTAGCTGATCAGATGAGGCACATCGCCCATTTAAAATTTTTCAGATGAAGTGCTATATTTTGGCCGGTATCCGTGTTGTCCAAAGTTTTTTCCATACCTTTATTTGAGAAGGCGATATTTGAGGACGATTTGAAGGCAAAGACATCACTGAAGCAGCTTGATTTAAGCATATATGAGTATAGATTAATTATATGCATCGAATAGTTTGGAATTTGGAGTCCCGTTCAGTTTCAAGTAAATAAGGATTTAGCATTGTTGGTTGGTTTTCATTGATTTTGATTATGATTGTTTCGTAATCTTTGTTAGTGAGAGTGTGAGACTACTATTTTCTAATGTTTTTTTTTTAACTATCATTTAATCTCTAGGGTAGGAGGGGATGTTTGAAACTATCTATTTAAACTTTAGAAAACTCCAATTGTTATGCTATATCAATGACTGTTCATAATACTCCATCTTTTAGTGTTTGACTTATATTGAGTAATGAGTAGGTTTCATCTTCCATTTTTTTTAGTGGTTTGTATAGAGTGGCGTTTTCTCACGCCCAACTCACGTGATTGGTAGATTTTGTTGAGTGCCAATAGTTTATTTTTAATCAATTAATTAATTTTTTTGAACGGATTCCGTTATATTGCGTTTTTTTCATCCTCTGCACTTATCAAATTGGATAATTTATTGAGCGGTGAGAGCTAAGTATGAACTTCTAACTGTAGACTGTAGATGGTTTTATGTAGTGATTTTACTCGAGGTAAATCACTATTCATTTTTCTTATTTCACATAATCCATGCCTTTTTATACTTGCAAGTGATTGTACCTTGGTCGACATTCAAACATAAGATCTCATGCTCTTAGAGCTTAAGGACAAAACTGCTCTATTTTAAGTATTTTTTTTTTGTCCACAGTAGTATAAAACTATATAAAAAATAGAGGATATGATTTTGGGAAGCGCACCCCATCACCGGCCTTTTTCCATCTAAACGTAATCCGTCGCACCAAAGTTAGGCTTTGAATTTCCTCCTTCGCCGCGCGTAGTCCGCCACCGCCTATAGTCCGATGGCTACGGGCTAACTTAACAGCCAAGAAATAAAATCCCAATCTCTATTTTATTCTTATTGATTAATTAATAATAATTAGGTAATAATAATAATATAAACCCGAAAACTCCAAAAAAAAAGAAGAAAAAAACTCACCACAAAACTGCGTACAAGCCATAGTTTGTTGAACCAATCGGCTATTTGAGAGTGATAAAGACTAACAATAACGAATAAAAAAATTCTAACATTAATCATTATGATTTTTTAAAACTTTTTCTTTTTCCCCTAATGATGGAGACATTTTATTTTACGCAATTTATTTAAATTTTATTTATTCCGTATAAACACAACCAAGCGAAGGAAAAGGAAAGACCGGCGTCATTCCAGAAGTTCTAGAACTACGCGCCTAAGTTTCCGCTCCTATAAGACATTCCAAATTCTCACCGAATCTCTCTCAATTTAGCCTACGTTTGTGAAACGTCTCTAATTCTCTGTTTCTTATTACTAACAAAAAAAGCCCTCAATTCAATTCCCTTTTCTTGCGATTTTAATCCAAGCATCAATCGATAATTTCCACCATGGCCGATACCTATCCCGAAACCGAAAAGCAAATTGTAAGATTTCATTGTTCGAATTTTTTAGTTTCTTGATTTGGGTTTTTTGTTTTTCGTTGCCATGATCGTTTCTTCGTAGGGTTTGTTAATTTCTTTTTTTTTTGATTAATTCATTTTCGCTAATGGGTTCTGTTTTGTTTCTTGTTAGGAAATCACCGAGGAGCAGAAATTGAAATACTTGGAATTCGTTCAAGTGGCAGCGCTTCATGCGGTGTTCTATGCTGCGAGGGTGTACGCTTACGCTAAGGAGAATTCCGGCCCGTTGAAGAACGGTGTCCAGACCGTCGAGAGCACCGTCAAGACCGTTGTTGGTCCTGTTTATGAGAAATATCACGATGTCCCTGTTGAGGTTCTCAAATTTGTTGACCGAAAGGTATGATCTTTTTATTCATGCGCTTTATGTTGCTGTTCTTGATAGCTTTTTTGGTATATATGTTTTATGGAAGCCATAAGAATCTGTCTTTGTGTGCTTATTTGTTTTCTGGCAAAACCAAGGACGATAATTGGGTGTGAATTTGAATTTTATTGTGGGTGGTTCGGGTCTTATGTTATTAATAATGTGAATCTTTTAGGGGGAAATGATTGTGGGGGTTCATATTATGATTTGTTTGATGGTATTATGATCCGGTTCCAAGAATAGAAGATATTTGGAGAGGAGTTGTTGTTGCACATGCTTTTGAATTGATATTTTACCGGGTTCGCTACTTGTCCATGGAAACAATAGGCGATTTGGTTGCTTTTAAATTCTCTTTTATGGGGTTCAGCACTTTTTCATGCAAGGTATTGGCTAGATTGACCAGTGCTTTTGTGTACAAGGAGAAGAAAGGAAACTAGTATTTTCGCATATGATATAAACAGTTCTTGAGGATGACTTTGAAAAGCTGTTGAATTTTGTGATCTATATTATCGTCGTGTGAAGGACTTTAGTTTGCATCTCTGTTGAATGTTTTAGACCGCATGTAAATGCATGTTCTGGATTGAGGTGGAAAGAGGCTTTATGAGCAAATGACTATTTTTAACTACATGTTATGCAACACTCTAGCATTGGAGGTCTTATTGAGGGCTTGGGTGCTTGATCCAAGTCCTGCGGTTTATTGGATGAGAATCTGGATGTTAAATTTGAAATTTCTGAGGAGAGTAGAACGAAGTGTTGACATTTTTGTCTTTTGCCTTATGCAATTGTCTTTAGAAGTAATGTTGACTGAAGTTTTCTTCATGCGCAGGTTGATGAGTCTGTGAACAAGGTGGACAATTTTGTTCCTCCATTGCTAAAGCAGGTGTCTAACAAAGCTTACTCAGCTGCTCAGAAAGCACCTGCTGCTGCACGCACTGTTGCATCAGATGTGAAGAGTGCTGGTGTTGTTGAAACCGCTTCAGGGCTTGCCAAGAACGTGTATGTCAAGTATGAGCCTGCTGCAAAGGAGCTTTACACCAAATACGAGCCAGTGGCTGAGCAGTATGCTGCTTCTGCTTGGCAGTCTCTCAATAAGCTCCCATTGTTCCCTAAGGTCGCGCAGGCCGTAGTTCCAGCAGCCAGCTATTGTACTGAGAAGTACAATCAAACTGTTCAACATTCGGCAGAGAAGGGTTACAAGGTCGCAACGTATCTACCTCTAGTACCCACTGAGAAGATTGCTAAGGTGTTTGGCAATAAAGCCGCCCAACCTATTGGTGGTGAAGTTGCTGCACACTAGTCGTTTCTTTGTGCCTATCTACTATCATATGGTTCTTACCTGTTACTATGACACAGGGGATCCATGATATGTGCGTGTGTGATGGTTAATGGTGTTTTAGACAATGGAGATGTGGTTGCCTGGTGATTAGAATGTGTTATGTTGTTGAATACTTTTAGATAGGGTGATTGTTGGCTATGTTATATAGCTTCGTGGGTTAAAGCAGCGGGACTAATAATTTTATGCTGCTTTCCTTTTTATAAATTTTTGGTACTGTCCTGTCTTGTTCTTCGGCATATTGCTTATTATAGGAGTAAATATATACTGTGACATGGAAAACTATATATGAAAAGCCGACCAGCTAGAGCTTCCAAATTATTGATCTTCAAAAGCACCTAATACAGAGAACACATGTAGAGGAGTTAAATATAGGCAGCTTGAAGGTGCTAACCTAAGCAGGAAGGCACTTCGATTCCTTGCCTGTTACAGATAAATTCTTTGCCATTTACAGCTAAATTACTCACCGTCTACCCTCGTAGTTGTCTCTTGAAGGGATACTATAGTTGGTTCGAATTCCCAATCCTTGTTTGCAGCAAATCCATCCCCGAGAGTTCAACATCTTATGCATGGGCACAAGGAGACCTTAATAGTAGCCAATCATGGTTCCAACAAGTATGGGCGGGTGATAAAGTTCAGGTCTTAAGAAACATTCCTTAGACTAGAGGAACGACTCTTTCCCATCTTCTTCCTGCGCCATCATTAACCAGACTTCAAATAATCCATGCATGCACTAAATGATCAAAGCAAGGCAATCGCCCAAGACAGATGGTGTTGCAGTGACAAATGATGGGTTTAGTTTCGAATGATGATGTAATATAAGGCTAAATGTTTCAGTGCGGAAGGCAAACTGAAGAATCACACTTAGTCCCACACATTTCCGTCAGGCTAATAACAACCACCATTCACGTATACTCCTCCTGCAGGGACAAGGCTGCCGATCAATTTGTCCTTCCAGTATGGACAATAAGTATATCCAGAGCCAAATGCCTCCAATTCCAAGTCAAGCTTAGTCCAGCAGTCTGTACCAAGTTTATAAATTTCAACATACAAAAGCTCTGCTCTATCATTGCCCAACCGGCCTACCCTGATGACCTTGTAATCCTTAGTTAACGTATCAAAACCAAACCCAAGTACACTCTTATTCCAGCTAGTTGCAAACATTTCTTGAAGCTAGTTTACTAACTAGGTCTCTAATGAGTTTGATACTTTGATTCTATTGACTTCCTATTATTATATCTATATTAATGAAACTCAAATTCCTTTGTTAAGAAAAAGAACAAAAAAGAAGTGTTGGTTGTTGTCCTGTTCAATTTATTTCTGCGCTGCCCCCTTCGAAGCTTCACACAAGAAGTCAAAAGCATCAAATTTCTATAAGAACTCATGAAAAATGTCATCAATCACCATGATATCACCTCACAAAATAAAAGCTAATTGATATCTTCGCCATATAGTAGATAAGAACAAAAGATGATTGGTGTCCTATTATTCTAAGACAGTAAGACTTGCTTGCAGAAAATAATCATTTGGAGCAAGTAATTAAGAAAACAATTGTCCTTTTAACTAATTAATCAATATAGCACAAAGTATCAGTAGTGGTTACATTAGAATTCAATGGGATTAACCACGCATCCCATGAACAACACTGCTCCGGTCAAGTCTTCTCTTATGAGGAAAAGGAACGGGTGATCGGCGACAAAGTCTAGTTTTTCTGGTTCGCCTTGTACACACCCACACACCTCCGCGACACTTATACCAGCGGCTTCCCTCCCTTCTTCATTTACGTCTACAAAACACTTCTGGAAAATGGAAAGGTAAGGCGCAGGAGAGTCTATCGCGTCATTGAGTCCGCCTCCTTCTGCTGAAAACGGCAAAACCAATCCCATCTCTTGAAGGATTTTCGCAGCTCGAAACTCAAATGATACCTTAAATTTTGGAATGAGAAACTCACCCACCGCTACTTCTTTCGAAGGTAAATGGCTCTTAAGGAATCCCGGTTGAGAACTGAATCTTTTGACCAAATCGGGAAGCCCATTCTTTTCATCAGGGAGATATATACACATGGAGAAACTTCGGAACTTGTAGCTGCCTTGTTCGACCTCATAAGCGTTTTCATCATTTCCATAACAAAGTTTTCAACGCTTTAAACCCATCGTACTCGCTTATATATTGATGACCTTTGCTGGTCATGAAGGGAACTCTAACTGTTGTGCCATTTAAGAGGTGAAACTCACCATCTTTTGTCTTTGATGCATCAAACTTGTCTTGCCATGCTCCTTTGAAATAGAGCGCGTTCGCGATAATGAGACTTGTCACGCTCGAGATATCCTTAGGGGTAAGAAGATCCTTGATGAGACCGTTTGTTTCCTTTTCAGCCCAGGCATTCACCACCTCACAAGCATTTTCCTTCTGATCGCAATCAAACAAAAACAAACTATATACCATCAAACAATGCACAAAGTATTTCAGCCAACAAAATGATTTGTAATGGCATTGATAACACTTGTGTGATTGAAACAGCTAACTACTGTGCCTCTTCAGTCCAAAAAATGATAGTCTAGTTTGCACAAAATACAATTTAAAACCATACTTCTTACATAATAAAGCATAAATCAAATTCACACTACATACATAAACAATATTTCCCAAAAATAATAATGAAAAAAATAGAAAAGATTTGAATGCAAGGACTAACCTTGTTCTGGAAATCAACTTGGGCGGAATGAACCTTATAAACCTCATCCATAACCTTTCTGAATTCGGGCTTAATTGTTACCCGTTTATCGATCCAGAGTCCATTAACACTGGACACGAGAGGGCTACAGGAAGAGTTGCCCTCGACTAACAAATCGACCAACTCAGAAGTACGAGAATTGAGTTCATCAATAGAACTTGATTTGAGGAAAGAGAGGAGTTGGTCTTGAGTCGGACCTTTCGGCCCGGATGCGATCATGGCCAAAATAACTTGAAGCGACACCGGCGAGGACACAAAATTCGTCTCCTTCCCTAACAGAATTGATTTTGCCAATGCCAGCAAAATTTCGTTTGGGTCATATAATTCTTCAATTGAATTTCTTACCTTCTTTTTTTTTTTTTTTTCTTGGACTTGATTTTCATATCCTTTTTTTTTCTTGAATCTGACCTGCGTATTTCGCTTGTGACAAGAATCTATGTTGTTCTTGTTGACGAGGTTTAGGATCGGCTCTCCTTCGAACTTCAAAGTTAAAGAAAATCACACAAAAGGCAGCAAACCCTAGTTAACAGGCCATAGCAATTTCGTTCACAAGCAATTGCGGTGTGTTTGCTTAGTTGGTTTTGGGAAAAATTGACGTTCATAACTAAAGTTTTGGGCTCACCGTCAATTCTATCTTATTAATTTTCGGTTAGTCAATTTTGTCTTTACTGTTTGAAATTTTTGTCAATTCTACCCAATTGGCCCAATTGCTGTTAAATTTAACGGATTTTCGTTAGTTTTTAACCAAAAATACCCTGATAGTTTTAGAAAATTATAAAAGTAACCCAAAAAAATATAAAAATAACAAAATAGTCCATTTTTTCATTTTTTCCTATTTCATTTTATTTCTCTTTATTACTTTTCATAACTATCAAAATATACTATATAATCTGTAAGAAAATAATAATTTATTTTCAAAATCTATTTTTCATGTTCAACACATGTTATTTGGGTTGAGGGGTAATTTTGTCATTTTAATTTTTTTTTTAAATTTTAATTTTTTTTATTTGTCTTTTTTTGAGATTCTTTTTTCTTCTATTTCCTGACTTGTATATATTGACACTAGAATAATTATTAAATTTTAATAATTAATTTACCGTTTTATTTCATAGATTACAAAACCTTTAACATAAAGAAAATGAGGAAGAATAACCTAAGTTGAAATAAACATAAAAATTAATAGTTTATCTTTCTAAAAGAAAAAAAGAAAAAAACCTTAAAAAAACTGCAAAGACAAGTCTTTTGTCCTTAACTTTCTCTATTTCAAAGGTAAGTTACGAAACATAAATTTTACTTGATCTTGCCTAAAATGATTATTTTATTCTTTGTAATAAAAATAATACAAGTCATGTCGTATAATTTAGTAATTACTTTGCTAAAAAATACATGTATTTATCTTTTTAATGAAATTCAATAATTGCTTATGTAGTTTCGCAACCGCCGATCGGCCAAAAATATTTATTAAAAAAGAATAAAAATAGTATTAACCAAATGATTGTCTAATTTTTATATTATTTTTATTACAACCAAATAAATAATTATTTTAGGCTAGATCAAGTAAAATTTATATTTCGTAACTCATCTATGAATTAGAGAAAATCAAGGAGGAAAGACTTCTCTTCGCAGATTTTTTCTTTTAAAGATTTTTTCTATTTTTGTTTAGAATTATAAACTATTAATTTTCATGTTTATTTTAGCTTGATTTTTTCTTTCTCATTTTCTTTATGTTAATTTTTTTTTATAGTCTATGAAATAAAAAGGTAAATTAATTATTGAAATTTAATAAGTATACTAGTATCAATATATAAAAGTCAGGAAGTATAAGAAAAATAATCTCAAAAAGAATAACGAATGAATTTTTTTAAAAAAATTAAAATGACAAAATAACCCTTCAAATCACATGTGTTGCACATGAAAAATAGATTTTGAAAATAAATAATTATTTTTTTAAAGATCATATAGTATATTTTGATGGTTATGAAAAGTAACAAAGAGAAATAAAATGAAATAGAAAAAAATGAATAAAAATGGAATATTTTGTTATTTTTATATTTTTTGGGTTACTTTTATAATTTTTTAAAACTATCAGGGTATTTTTGGTAAAAACTAACAGAAATCCGTTAAGTTTAATGAAAATTGGGCTAATTGGGTAGAATTGACAAAAATGTCAAACAGTAAGAACACAATTGGTTAACCGAAAATTAATAGAGTAGAATTAACGATGAGCCCAAAGTTTTGGGTATGAACGCCAATTTTTCCGTTGGTTTTGGAATAAAGGAATGGAATAATTCTAATTTTTGATGTTTGGTTGAGTTTTAAATTGGTAGGATTAGACTGATATGCAAGTATTTTATTAGGAATCTTCTAAACCCACATGGGTCGGGTTTTGATCCCATTTCTAATTTCATAGAGTTTTTTTTTTCTTCAACTCTTTATTTTCTCATGGAATCATATTGTGCATAAATTTATTATTATATCATAAGAATAATTTTTCTTAATTATAGACTCAAGTTTTTATTTGAAATTTTTTAGTCAATTTTAAATTACAAATATCGTTAAAAAAAATTTAAATTGATTAACATATAATTCGAATTGAGATTGAAATCTAAAATTTGTTTACCGCATTAAAATTTGATATTGAAATAAGAGTATTGGGACTCAATCAAACTAATTTAGTTTTTATAAAAAAAATAATAAATAAATTTATTAACTTTTTAAAATTAGTAGTTACTTTTACACCATTAATTCAATAAATTAAAAGCAAAAAATAAATTGATACATAAACCTAATTATAATCAAACAACTGTTTTGGAATGGTATACCGATAGAAACCCTTCTCTATCTTCATACTTAACTCCATAGTAAAACCCATAAACATACCAAATACACCCTTATATTTTTGAAAATGTATATGAATTTGACAAAAAAATTGGCCGATCTACCCAAAGGTTGACATGCGTTGTCAATTTTACATTATTTTTTTTTGGTTAGCCAATATTACCCTAAGCTATTCAACCAGTAGCCAATTTTGTCCAATTTGCCAATTTTCGTTTAAATTAACGGAATTATGTTACTTTTAATTACAAAAATATCCTAATAGTTTTAAAAATTAAAATAATGATCCCAAAAATTTGTAAAAATAACCAAACAATCTTTTTTTACTTTTTATTTAATTTTTTCTATTTTTTATTTGTTTTTACTATTTCTCATAACTATAAAAATATATTATATGATCTTTTAAAAAATTATTTATTTTTGAACACTACTATGCAGATTTATAGATATGCATATTTGTAACTCAAGTCAAAATGCTGTGGGCGTGATCAAGTCAAAATGCTGTGAGGTCCTCAATCATAGGGTCCCGGGAAATACCCTGTATGTAACCAAACTGTCTCACTACCCTAACCGACTCGTGGGGTTCTCTAATAATCCAACAGAACATCCACGTCCTAGCCCTCCAAATGGCTTGGTCCTATTTACAGAAATTAGGGAGAGTAGAAGGACGGTCGCATATGGTTGTCACTGAAACTGCACGAATTGAATTTATTTAAATGGTAAAACTGGAAAAAAATTCAAAATAAATATAAATACCAAAAGTAATTAATGAGTACTTACGTTTCCAACAAGCAAGCTTGGTAATTGATCTCTAAAAGGTGCCAAGCTGCTCCTTGGGACGTTTTCATAGGTGTACGAACATTCCCACCTTAATGAACAAACACGAAGGGGTTACATTTTAATTATTAGAAAAAATGAATAAGAAAAAAATAAAATAAATATTGATTTATTTTGAAATGAAAATACGCACCGTTGAACTAATGGAACGGTGTCATCCAATATATAATCTAGTCCTACTCTATTTGGTGCGATTCTCGAGATCTGCTCGTACGCCCATATCTAGTAAATTTCAATAATAATGTTAATACTTAAAATTGTAATGCCGAAAACAAAAACAATCATAACACCTAATGAAAACTAATATGTACCTGTAGCAAATTTACACAGCCAGTAATGTCGTGCATCTCGTAGTTGGTTGCCTCTCACATGCCAGAGTACAAACAAGCAAGCAGGGTCGATCCCCAACTATATCAACTACACTGCGCCAAATCCTCCACATAGGTCAACAACTACAGACTTACAATATTTTGACTCTTGCCTGGCAACTATAAAACTTGGCAAAAAAATGCACGATTATTGTCTGAGTCCTTTGCTCGAGTCGCTCGACTGGGAAACCCTAAGGGATTACGAAAATCCGAATGTGTCAATCCAGATAATGCAAATCGGTTTAACAATTAAAAATATTCGCGCCACAATTTTCCTTCTAAATTGTTTTATTTTATTGAATTCGGATTATCAAAATCCGGGTGTTACTGTTAATATTCTGACCTCTTTTGACTGTATTTCCACAAAATAAAAATACTTATTATTTTAATATTATTTAGGGACTCAGATTTTGGAAATTCGATTGTTTAATTTTAATCCGAATTCGGATTTTAAAAATCCCGGGCACATATATATGTCCACATATATTTCAAAAAATTAATTTTGCCTACTTTTTTTTGGAAAAGATCCCAATCTCAATACAATGTTTACAAATTTGGTAATGTAACATGATAAAAAGGTTTTTTTTTTTTTAATAAATGTATGTTTTAGACGTGTAGTAACTGATGTTTGACTTGAATATTGTAGAGATTGCTATACTCCATCACTTATTCCATTTCTTATCTCGATGCTATATATATGTGTGATGTGTCATGACACAAAGTAACACTAACCAAGAAAATTATTGCAGAGAATTCGCATACAACTATCGTGAACAACTATATCTTTCTTCTCTTTCCGTTTTTGACAATTTCGTTAAGCTCTTTTGACCCTTTTCAAGGTACTCCTTATTCAGTATTCTTATTTATACTGTACAATTTAAAAATGAAATTTAGTTTGAAATTCTACGATACAGTTATGGTCAGAAAAAGAATATAACATTATTTACTAATTGTTATAACATTCTTGATTTTCCCCAAATTTTTTTCTAAACATGTGTTTAAAGTAGTTATTAGTAAATATTTCATTTTTTCTCTCGGGGATAATATTGAGTTTTACCTTTTTCTTTTCAGGTTGCCTTGCTTTTCCTTGCCTCCCCGGCGCTCCCGGTATTGGTAAGTTTCTGTTTCACTGCTAACTCTTCTTTTCCTTTAACTTTTTTTTTAATGTAATTAATAATATTCTTTTTACCTAAAAAAATAGATCGCTTTACAGAACTAAATTAAATAGTAAAAGTGGATTGTTTTTCTCGGATGAACGGAGTGCAAAAAAGGGGGGAATTTTTTAACGGCAAATTAAGGTAAAAAAGTGAAACTAAAATAGTGCAAAAAAGTGGATTTAATACTTGTGGTAGTCTAATTTGCAGATTTATTGCATTTATAAATGTTATGTTCGTGAGATAAATATGTATAGGGAACAAAACTTATTGGCCTGAATTGGTTGGAATGGAAGTACTAAAAGCAAAGAGGATTATTCAAAAAGAAAATCCAGAAGTCATAGTAGTTGCCCTTCCATGGAGTTGG